GAAGAATTTCATAGAGCTTTACCAGGCTGTGCAAAGTAAAATTCTTCTCAGGCAACATTTGCTTTTTAAAATAATCATGAAGAGTAAGGTTGTTAAAGCAAAAAGTTTTTTATTTTCCTTGTCTTCCAAGATCTGATTTCCCCATCTCCCACTTGCATCCAGCAGATGCCATCTGTCATCTAAGCTGGTCATTGCTAATAAGCAAGGAAACTGTCTCCTGACAGCCAGCACTGTGTAGACTCACTCAGGAACCAGCGGATCTGCAAAGACCTACCTACAATCAAAAGCAAATCCCCATTTTCCTTTTATAAAGCATTCTACCCTCACCTCCAATATAAACACATTAAAAGAGTATTAAAATGTTTAAAATCATGTACTAATAAACTCATTGTATGTTAGAATTGAAATAGAATGGAGAGAAACATTTAGCTAGAAATGTATCTGGAAACTCTGAATGTACTATGTGAGTATTAGATTTTAATAGCATGCTTTAAAGACTGATGAATATAAAAGCAGAAGTTTTGAGTTTTTTACTGCTTTCAGAGCTGTATCCTAGTTTAGTGATACAAATGATTGCAACTTTTCTAAATCATTAAATTACTTGGTTTGGTGGAGTGAGGCATGGAGCAATCTGGCGTCTTCTGATTTGTAAAGTAGTGATGGCAGTGAAGTTGTAACTGAAATTTAAGCTGATCTTCCTCTTTGGTGTATTATCAGTTGTGCCAACTCTTGAGATTACTTGCACAATGTGGCTATAAGTTTTAGTATTTTATGGAGCAGAGGGATATTTTAAAAATGTGCTTATGGAAAGGACCCCATGAATGAAATTCCTAGCTTAGTGAAGTAGAATGATTTTATGGTATCCATTAAGAAGGATAAAAGTCTTCCCCCTGCTCCAGACGTCATTCTGTAATTACCAAGATAGGCTAGGAGCAGGATTATGATTCAGAGGCATCCCAAATTCATAAAGCAATAATAAAAAAAACCCTACATATTAGTTGCCTCTCCAAAGTTTTGAGCCTTCAAAAATGAATTCCTAGGCTTAATTGTGATTTTGATTTGCTAATTCAGTACTTAGAATTTGTTTAAATGGTACGTTATTATTTTTAATGAAAGACTTTTGAAAAGTGCCCTCTCCCGTTAGAGACAGTTGTTGTGTCAGTTGACTAATATTACGAGCTCTTGTAAGGGGAAAAAGGAGCTTATTAAATAAAGTTCTTTACTATTAGGAAAAGATGTCTTGCGTCAGTCTTAATAGGCATAAAAGTCACACTTAATGACTGGAGGAATTTTTGCTAATTGCCTTTCCCTATATAAATATTGTCTAGAATGAAAGCTAATATAGGAACAAGACTCCTAAATCCATGAAAACCCTTAGTGAATATATTCTTAATCATTAATATTAGCCCATTATACTTTCATCTGTATTTTCCATTAAAAATTTATTTGCATTTATACCTTTAGGATAACTGAGTTTGTGTCTTTCTAATCTGTTTTATCATTGCTACAGGTTTTTTTTTTTTAAAAGAGCTTTTCACTAGCACATGCCAGAGGCTCACACTTGTGCTAAGTCTTATGTTTAAAAACAGGTTGTAGCTGTATTTATTGACCATGCAAGTAGATGAAATGCATAATACAAATGCTTTTCTTTAGCACGTAAGGGACCTATCCATATTTTGAAAGTTTGTTGCTTTAAAAGCAAGTATCTCTCCATAAATATTATGGCCTTCCATTTTCTTCATACATTTTTTTAGGATCCACTTGTGCATGTAGTTGAGACCTCTGTCTCTTAAAATATAGCACTTTTCAATTCTCTCTAAAGAAATACTTATGTACTATCACATGTTGTAAATTTTCATGTAATAGTGTTTTCTGTGACTAAACTCCATTTTGATTGGCAGCTAAGACTTTTTTTTCCTGTGGCTTTTATTTATCTAAGAGGTCTTTGCATATAGATGAAATGTATAATTTGCCTGGCGGACTATTTGCGTTGTGTGGCCTTAGTTTGTTTATTGACATTAACAAGTGTTTTAAAACGGTTTTTAATGAATAGTCTTAAATCTAAATTTGTGTGAATAATAATCCTTTTAACAGTGCTTTTTTGTAGCTGTCTAAGTGTGTTAAATTGTTAAGCTATTTCTTTGTAAAATAGACAATGGAATGCATAGAGGTTTTTTTCCCCCCTGTAAAGTATTTTTTTAATAAACAAAGTCTGATTTGTCCTTTACTGGTGTTGCATCACAAAATGAATAGCATATGTGAATTCTAGATACCTGGAACCTGGTTTTAGAGTGCTAATCCCTTCCCATCTCTGTTCCCTATTACTTCAAAAAATATTTTGTGAAATCTATGCATTTTCTTTCCAAAGATGTCTTATCCATGCTGAGATGCAACTAGTTTGGGCAAAGAAGAAAAATGATGCTTAGTATTTGTGGCATTGTACCTCTTGTTGCCTAAGTTGGCTCATATGAGATCCTACATTTTTATCCTGTGATGGGAGGTATTCTTGAAAGTGCATGGAGTATTAATGAAGATAGTGTATAGACTTCAGATGTCACTGATGTATCATGTGACACAACGGATTGGATTATTTTCCTCATCAATTTTTGTGTGAACTCTTAAGATATTTGTTCTAAGCACTCACAGCCCTGGCTTCTGATTAGGAAAGGAAAAGGAAGGGAACGGTGTTTTTGGGTAACTGCCATGGGCCAGGCACTTAAGGGAAAGGAAGTCCCCAACATACAAATGAGTTCTGTTCCGAGAGCACATTTGTAAATCCTATTTAAGTCCAACAAAGATCACCTAAGGTACCAAACACAATTGGCTTTATAGTGCTGTATGTATGTAATGGGTTGTACTGACATCTGGTGGAGAGAAAGAATACATAAGAAACGTGCATTGTTAAAGCTCGTAACTTGAAGGTTCGCATGTAGGGGACTTACTGTATTTCATTTACTCATTACAGCCTTTAGTAGGAAGCTAATTATCTCCATAACACAGGTGAGGAAACAGACTTGTCAGGTTGGATTAACTGCCTAACATCAACTGCCTAACATCACACAGTTGATTAGTGGGAACAGGGATGGCCTTGTTCAGTCGCAGCCTTAGGAAGCACTGCCAAGTTTCTGACAGGGCTCCTGAAAGATGGTTTGCTACTTACCACTGTCCTCTATGCGACTTACCTGATTGCCTCCCTGCACCCCCAGAACCTATTCTGTGCGTTACGCAATGAAGTCAAATGCTGAGATGAACAAAAGGAATTTTGTCACTCCTTATTTATCTTTTAAGTTGGCCATTTGCCTTGAAGCTCAACGGAATTGTAATGTTTGTGTCTAAGGAAGGGTTAAACTATCAAGGAGCAAAAGCAGAAGGAAGCCACCTCCAATGTGTGCAGTATAAAAATAAATTAAGCCTGGCTGGGCCTGGTGGCTCACGCCCACAATCCCAACACTTTGGGAGGCTGAAGGGAGGATCGCCCGAGCCCAGGAGTTCGGACCAGCCTGGGCAACAAAGGGAGACCTCCTCTCTACAAAAAATTAACGCGGCGTGGAGGCCTATGCCTGTAATCTCAGCCACCCAGTGCGAGGGCGAGGTTCCGCCTGTTTTGCAGGATTGCCTGAGTCCAAGAGGTGGAGGCTGCGGTGAGCCCTGATCTTGCCACGGCACTCCAGCTTGGGCAACAGAGTGAGGCCCCCTCCCTACTCAAAAACAAAAACAAATAAAAACCACAAACAGCTGGGGGAAATAATTTTTTAAAAGTTGGTCCCGTGGGAGTTGCTTTTATCTTGCTTTTCCTCATCTGTACAATGGGGCTGACCTCCGCCTGGCGCCGATGTCACGCACGATCAGCAGCAGCATCTGCAAAGCCCGGAGCCCTGCGCCTCGCGGGCCGTCTCGCGTGGAAGTGGTTACGATCATGAACTAGCCCTGACCCGAACGCGCGGCGCTGCGGGCGAGCGGGCGCTCTGCGCCACACAGGGCGAGGGGCGCGGCCGCCAGGGGGCAGTGTGTCGCTCGCCGCCAAAGGACACGACGGCGGAGGAAGGCGGCGGGGACGCCTCCGGGACGTCTCGCTCACTTAGGGGCCCGCTTGGGTTCTTAGCCCGAGCACCAGACACCCCCGGCCCGGAGCTGCCG